TGGGCCGATGTTCCACCACCACCACCACCACCACCACCACCACCACCACCACCACAAATAGGACAGGGAAGAAGGGAGGATGTGGAGGTCCTCCTCCTCCTTTTCCTCCTCCTCCTCATCCGCCTCCTCCTCCTCCTCCTCCTCCTCCTCCTCCACCTCCTCCTCCTCCTCCTCCTCCTCCTCCTCCTCCTCATCCGCCTCCTCCTCCTCCTGCTTTTCCTTATGCTCCTCCCCCTCCTCCCCCCTCTCCTATCTACGGTGGAGGCGGTGGATAATCGTCCCATCAAAGACGAAGCCAGGACGCGGACGAAATATGGTGGGGGAAAACAAAAATCTGAGATCTGGCGGCTCTGGAAGATGTCTCGGGCGCCGCGGCCTTCTCAGAGCATCCCAAAACGCTCTGAGAATGCTCCGGCACGCTCTGGGACGGATTTGACCTCGTCCTAGCCCGCCCGAGCTTCTGGCAGGACTGGGTTTAGTGGGACCTGGTTTAGTGATGTGTACTGGGGGGCGCCCCCCCGCCCCATTCAACTAACCGGAACTGCCGACGCATGAAGAAAACCAGCTACGGCAGACCTGGTATAGTGATTACAATCCATATTTTGGGCTTCGGGGCCAAATCACTAACAGGCTCCCCTTAACCGAGGTCCTGGCTATACCCGATTCTTGAAGGAGGCTGTTTCTTTGAAGGCGCTGCAGCCTTACATCTATAGATGAGGCCCGCGACTTCTAAGAAGCAGGATCCTTCCCCCCTCCCCCTGCCCCCCATCGGCCATCTGCGCGTGGCCGACTGCTGCCGCCACCGTCGCCGCTGCTGCTGCTGCTGCTGCTGGGATAGGGCCAGCGGATGTGCGTTCCCTTTCAGGCCGAATTCGCCTCACCTCGTCTTCGTCGTTCTCGTCCTCCTCCGCCTCCTGGGCAGCGTAGTCAGGTCGACACCGGTTTGCTCGGCCGAATTCGTGTTTCTGTCCTGGATTGTGCATACACGCTTACATGTGATACGTGATATGTAACCGATTTGCAGTCTGGGCATGGTTCCTGTCTCTGGCCTCCCGTCCCCCCTGCCACTCCAGGCAAATCGTCGAACTACTGCAGAGACGAAAGACTGTGGTGGCGAGGCCAATGAGCCCCACCAGGCTGAAAGGGGAGAGTCGCCCCTGGCGTCCGACCTTGCGCGGAACCGAGCGCCGTGCATCATGGGCCAGGCTTAGCTGGGAAACGCAGGGAACGCAAAGGTAACGCAGGGAAAGGCGCCACTCCTCCTCCTCCTCCTCCTCCTCCTCCTCCTCCTCCTCCTCCTCCTCCAATTTCGACCTGTCCCTGCTTTTTGCGCAAGGGCCGTCGCGGCTTCCGGCACAGGCTGCCGTGAAGGCGAACGCTGCCCAGCAGTCAGAGCGGCGACTGCCCCTCTCGCCTTTTTTGGACGCCCGAAATGGGTACCGAAAGAATGGGCACTATGCCCAACAACCAATGTTGTCCCAAACCAACAGCGGCCGCTGTTGGGCGGACGGCCTCCTGTCTCGAATGGACACAAGCCGCGGCGGCGTGGACAGCGGATCTTGTTCAAAATGAACAAGATCCGCTGTTGGGCATAGTACCCATTCTTTCAGTACCCATTTCGGGCGTCCAGACCTTTGGTGCCCACCGCAGCCTCACGCGGCCGGCTGGCCTTCGACCAGCAGCACCTCGCGGCCTTTGGCAAACGCGCGGCGCTCGATGGCCGGCAGGACGGCATCCTCTGCGGCGGCCGCGAGGATATCGGGCACGAGCGCGCTGCGCATCTCCTCCCGGTTGCCCTCGTGCTGCGCCAGAAGCAGCAGCACGCGCATCGCCGCCCGGTACACGGTCGTCTTGAAAGCCAGGCTGTCTGGCGGCTTCCCCGACAGGCGGAGCCGCTTGGCCAGGTCTTCCCTGATGCACGCGGCCTCGAGCAGCTGCTTCGCGAGCTTCTTGTCCTGCCACATGGGGCCCCTGTTGTCCTCGGCCTCGGCCAGGCTCGCCAGGGCCCACAACGCCTTGGCCCTGACCTCCAGCGGCTGCTGCGGCGGCTCCGGCATGAGCGGCGGCATCTCCGCGAGGCTCGCGCGCTCGAAGCTCACCGCGACCTCCGCCGCGAGGGCGATGTGCCCCGGTGCCCCGCCCCTCGCCGGACTCTTCGAGCGCGAGATGGGCGGCTGCGCGCCTCCGCCGGGGCCCAGGCCCTGGCGCGAAGCAGACGGCGACAGGCCGCCGCCGCCGCCGCCGAGCAGGGGCCTCTGCGCGGCGACCCCCTCCCGCAGCGCCCTGCGCACGCCGGCGTCGCACCTGCGGGCCGGGGAGATGATCACAGCCACTGCTTCTTGTTTGCGCCGCCTTCCAGCCGGCCGAAAAAGAACCACTGCTTTTCGTTTGCGCCGCCCTCCAGCCGGCCGAAAAAGAAGCTGTGGTTGTTGCGGTCGTCTGCCTGGTGCCAAGCTTAACGAACATGGCCCCAGCCACGGCTTTGTGCTCCTGCTGGCTTGGAAGGCGGCAACAGGAGAAGAGAGCAGTGGCTGTGGTCATTTCCCAGTCCCGTTCGGGAGACTCTCCATGGGGGGGGATCCCATGGGGGAGCAGGAGGGGATCCCCCCCATGGGATCCCCTCCTGCCCCCCCATGGGATCCCCAGGGGATCCTATGGGACCCCCCCCCTGGGATCCTATCCCCCCATGGGATCCCCCCCATGAAGAGTCTGCCGACCCGTAGCACCACATGCTGAGCCGGTTGCCCTCGGCCGCGGCGAGGCCCCACAGCAGGCCGAGGGCGCTCTCCCGCAGCTCGTAGGGCTCGCTCGCGGCCGCGCCGCTCAGCACGGCGTCGCGCAGCGCGGCGCTGGCCCAGAGGGCGCGCGGGTCCGTGCGCGAGGTGCACGCGAGGCTCCAGAGCGAGCCGAGGGCAGCGGCGCGGTGCCTGACGGGCTGAGGGGGGGGGGGGGGGGACGAAGCGTCCCAAGCCTTACGTCGGGCGTGTCCCCCTCCAGGGGGATTTTGGACGAGGAATCAAAAATAGTTTTTTATATAAAAAATGTGTAACAAAATAAAAAAGTCCAACAAATCGTCCCCAGCCTTTTTTTCACTATCTGTGATTATTCCCCCTGTAGAGGCACAGGCCCGACCTAACCCAAGCCGCTGCAAGCGGGGCGTTCATAAACGGGCTGGTAGCTAAGGGTGCGTTCTCAGTGGCGTTTTCAACAGTTGATTTGCCGCGCACAAGTGCGAGGTGAAACCCCGCGCCCAGAGTTATGATGATGTATCGATGTTTTTGTCGTTCCGATGTATCACGAACTAGTGCGGGGCAAATGCCCTGTCACCGCGTTCTCGCTTGAAGAAGCCTCTTAGCTACCGCCCCGTTTACTAATGCCCCGTTTGCAGGGGCACGAAGCGTCGAGAAGGGCGCACATGAAGGGTAAGGATGCTGGAGTGAAGGGCAAGTGATCAGCAGAAGAGCGGCAGGGAGGGGAAGATCAATTCGGGGCTGGGAGCTCGGAGCGAAGGTCGAGAAGCTCAACTCTTTCACAGGGGGTGCTTCGGCTGTCGCTGGACGGCAAATGCCGAACGATTGCGCATACAAAACAACATATGCACATGCGTATCCAAATCGTAGCGGAACGTAAACAGTGGAGGGCATAAAGGAACAGAGGAACAACGGGCACCCACCAAAGTTAGCCCATTTCGTTGTGTGTGGGGGGGGGGCGGTTGTTGCTTACGAGTATGACTACCTGACGCACATGAGCCGCAGAACGAAATTCGACGCATGACAGATATGGCAATAAAAGATCATCTCTGCAGCGCGTAGCAACGCCAATAATGTGCCTGGCAATTCTACGTTTGGGAGCACCCACGGAAGCGAGGTATTGCTGCATCTGCGCGCGGCGGACATTCCGCCGCGCAGGGAACAGTGGCGACAATTCTACGCCTGGTAGCACCCAGGGAAGCGAGGTCTCGGTTAGTCTACGTGGGAACATGCCTGTAAGCGAAGTGTCAGGGGGCAAAAGGGGGGCCGGGAGGAAAGAGAGGAGCGCGCGATCCGAAACGGAGACACAGCACTAGAAGGCTGGGGGGAACCTAACGCGCGAGTTTTCACTGTCTCTCTCGCAGGACCACAGCTGGCCACCAAAGGGCACCACTTCCTGCCACAATCCTGGACCAAAAGGACACCAGGCATAAGACCACCCAGTGACTGCGCCCCCTTCGAGCCGAAGATATTCCTCGCACAGATCTCCGACGTCGTGCTGTCTGCTCACAAAGTGAAACCCCCGACCCCTTGCCCCAGGGCCAGTCTTTCATCCCGCGACGATTTCCGACGGCCCCAGGGATCGGTGAGGGCCCATGGAGCCTGAAAATGTCCACCACCACCACCATCACAACCCGCCGTGATTTTGGGGCGACGCGAGCAGGTCCGGGCACAGCCGAGCTGCTACCACAAGGGACGCTGAATCTGGAACGAGGCCGCCTCTTGGCCCCAGGGGCGCCCGGGGGAGCGAGGAGCGCCTGAAGAGAACAGCCGCGAGAGGGCCCGGGGAACAGTGAGCCCCGTCCAAACCAGAGCTGTTCCTCATTTCGGCGTCTTCATTGCATCTCGAAGTCCCAGGTTGCACTCTGCTGGCATCAGGTCGGGCAGGTCCTCCTACAGGCGGGCTTGGGAAGAAAGATGGGAAAGCATCCGAACAGAGTGTGAACATCCTCATAAATGAGCGAAAAATCGTCCTCGGACTATTGTGTTGCCTATCTTTGAGTGTTCCTCCTGTACAGTGGGGGCTCGGCCACAAGAAACCTCCGCAAGAAACCCGACCCTGAAAGCTGCGATATGTTCCATGAAAACCAGATATGCCGATCGAAGATCCTCCAGATCTTATTGGGGACCCACCTCGAAGTCCACGAAACCCAGGGCACCCTGGCCAAATCCAGCTGGCTTCTTGGCACGCGCCCCCACTGTAGGGGGGCATGCCCGACTTACTTGAAGGGGCCCTGGGACACACAATAAATACACACAAATAAAATAATTCCCCATATTTTCCCATATGTTCCGGGTTTCTGTCTTCCCCCCCACTTCCCATATTTTCGCATATTTTCCTGGGGATCGACGATTAATTGTGTCTGTGTGTTTCTTTCCCTCCTGATTACTGCTGGCCCTGGGGGCCTGTGGGTGACGCCCTCCGCGGCCGCGCGCAGGAGCGCGGCGCAGAGCTCGGACTCCGAGGACCCAAACAGGGGCTCGTCGAGGTCCGCCTCCGCGTCCCCGCCGCTCTCGCTGGCCGCCTCCCTGTCCTCCTGCGGCCCTTCGTCCTTCCGGCGGCCCAGGATCGTTTCTCCACCTTCTTCCCCGGAGAGGAGGAGGAGGAGGAGGAGGAGGAACGGGAGGAGGAGGAGGAGGAGGAGGAAGATTAGAGGAGGAGGAGGAGGAGGAGGAGGAACGGGAGGAGCGGGAGGAGCGGGAGGAGCGGGAGGAGGAGGAGGAGGAGGAACGGCAGGAGCGGGAGGGGGAGAAGGAGGACGATGACGACGACGAACACACGGCGATCAGTGTGGCTTCGGTGATCCCACCAGCCCTTTATGGCGCAGGTGGCTTGAAGCTCAAGGCCTCTTCTGAGCCCCTGCTTCCTCTTCGGGCAAGGGCTTACCCCCCTGCCTGCCAAATCCTCGATCTGTTTCGCCGCGAGCGGAGTGCCCCGGGACCGCCAAAAAACTCGACTCAAAGAAAGCGTCGTGGGGAAAGCCCATGGATCTAGGACCCGCCTCCCTCAGGACACATTTCCTTCCTGGGCGGCCCAGACAGACCCCCCCAGACCAAAGCATGATTCAGGGCAGTTTCTAACACATGGCATTAAAAAAAAAAAAAAAAAAAAATGGATTTATAATACATGATTAATGTATGAATAAACATATGCATGAACGTATCGCTGTTTTAATACTAAACCCTGGATGTTTCATACATGATCCGCACGCGGAGCATGTGTTAAAACCGGCACTGTAGACTCAACACGGCTCTTGGCCATTGAATCGGGGCCTGGCCCCGAGGAGGCCCAGACGGGGGGCTGCTTGGGGGTCGCTGGGCCCACACGTGGGCCACAGGATCCCAGATCGACCACGGCGCCAGGGCCAGGGGCGCGCGCCCACGGCGCGTGAGGTGCACACGCCCATGCGCGAGGGCATCCCCGAGCCAGGTCGAAGCACTATGTGCAAGGGCAGACCGGGCCCCCTCCGAGCCAGCAGCGCTGCTCACCTCGATGCCTCGACTGAGCGCCAAGCACCAGGGACGCCCACTGTCTGCTCTCCCGGGTCCTCGGGATGCCCCGCGGCATCAGCGCCCCACGCGTGGACGCAGACGGCCGGATCGCTCATTGCCAGCAGCGCCAGGGCGGCGTTGGCCTGGCCCGCTGACCGGTAGCCCGGAACCAGCTGTCCCCGCCCCGGCAGGGGGCGCCCCGATACGCTCGGCTTCCCCCTGCCTCCCCGTTACCCTCCCCTGCCCGTCCCCCTCCCCTGCCCTCCCCTGCCTCCCCGTTACCCTCCCCTGCCCTCCCCGTTGCCCTCCCCTCCCCGTCACCTCCCCCTCCCCGCACTCCTCACCCCTGCCCTCCCCTGTCTCACTCCTCCGCCACCACCCCTCGTCCGAAGACGAGGACGAGGCACACAGCCCGCCCTGCCCCACTGCACCCCCCGGCCCTCAGAATCGGCGCGAGAGTTTGGGGGGTTGGGGGGAGAGGCCCCGAGGGCCTGCAGAACGCCGAGGGGATGCGCAGAAGGTGTCCCCCCCCCGCTTCCTTTCCCATCGGAGGAGGAGGAGGTGGGGGAGGAGGGAGGAGGAGCAGGAGGAGGAGGAGGAGGAGGAGGAGGAGGAGGAGGGGAAGCAGCGGGGCAGGCATGGCTTCTGGGAGCTCTCCTGCATGGCCTGCCTGGGGAAACCAAAAGGTGTCGGTGCCGCTGCTCTCCAGACCTCTCCTGGGGCGCGCTCTGGCCAGGATCTCGGGGCGAGTCCAGCGGTGGCGACGAGGGCTGCCAGGGAGGCCCAAAAAGGGGAAAACGAGAGAGGGGTGGAGGTATGGGTACCTTTTCCTCCTCTGACTGCCGAGGCTGATTTCTGGGATGGACAGACCCCCCTTTAGTAAAACGTGGTTTAGTGAAAACGACCTGAGGTCCAAACCTGGCGGGCGCAAGCCTGGAAAAGAACGGCCACGGCGCCCCCTCGAGAACCGAAACGGACAATGCACTAATCGACGTGTCACTTGTTGTGCGTGCCCGCGAACGCCGCACCGAAGGGCCCTCTGCGCCTACCCTCAGGCCGGGCACGTCCACCAGCAGGCGGGCGGAGCTTGGACGACAAATGATCAATAGTTTTTGGACCAAACAAATACTCAACAAAAATAGTCCCCCGACTATTTTTTGGCTATTTTTGACGATTCCCCCTGTAGAGGGACAGGCCCGACTTAAGCCTACCCTGAAAACATGCTCCAATAACCATTTTGGATCCCATCAGAAGCCGACCGTTCACCGTGAAAACAGGAAGGGTCTTGAGGGAAGCGGACTGTGGACCCTGCGGCCTTCCCGGGACCAGCTCTTCCTCCGAAGCCGCCTCTTGCCGGGGAGGGCGCCAGGAGGCCGACATCGACGAAGAAACTCCAAGGCCCTTCTCCCTCAGGACCCACCATTGATTCAAAACGACACCAACCCCCGACGGTGGCACCCGCGGGCATCCCTGGCAGGAACCTGGACCCGGGGCGGAGCTGAGCTTTCAGAGGCGTTCGGAGCTGGCGCTCGAGCATGGGCCGTTCCCAAAAAGCCCACCCCCATCGCGGCACCCAGTCGGCAAGCCTGCCACACCCCGTCGTGGCCTGGGGTGGACATCTAATTTCTAGAAAAAGAAAAACACCATAAACATAAACTGTTGTCGCTCCGCGCGGATTTCTCGGATGTCCGCTGGACCTCCCTCCCTGGCGCGCGGTGCCGCCAGAGGGGCCCAGCGAGGATCCCAGAAATCCGCGCGGAGCGCAAGAAGATTGGAAAGAAGATTGGAAAGCTAAGCGGCACCGAACCCAATCCCTCCTATGAATTCTGAATCCGGGGAATGGATGGGTGCATAAATACACCCCTCCGACCTCTTCTTTGAACTTCTGGCTATGGGGCATGACGACACGGGTCCGCGCCGCCACTCTCAGGGATCTTCTGACCCGGCCCAATACAGACCCGGGTCAGCAGGAAACCAAAAACTGCAATGCAAGAGAAAAAAAAAAAAAAAAAAAATGCAACGCAGGTCTTCGCAAACCCGGGTCAGCCAGTATGCTCGGCCGCCTCGCGGCCACGAGCGGCTCGCTAACCCGGGTCAGCCAGAGGGGGGCTTCGCAGGATCCTGCAGTTACCAGCTTCCCACGTATCCAGATCCCTAAGATTGACACGCCAAAAGGCGATGACAATCTTGGGGATCCGCCCAGAAAAAATAAGGGAATCCCTAAGATTGGCATCGTGATGAGGAGGTGCCCAGCACAGGGATGGGGATATGTTCCAGGCTGGTAGGCAGGATCCGGTGCCCTGGCTGACCCCCGTTTGCACTGACCCCCGTCGCGAGGCTCCCGCCACTCCCGGGCGACGGCCGCGCCAGGGCCTTGGCGGCGACCTCCCGCAGCTCGCTCTCCGAGGCGGCGACGAGCGCGTGCCGGACGCGCGGGTCCCGGGCGAGCACGGGCCGTGCGGCCGGCGAGGTCAGCATGCCGATCAGCACGCTGATGGCCACGCTGCGCTCCGCGTCGGTGGACTCCTCCACCTGCCGAGGGGCAGCGACACCGTCGGGGCGGGCTCGACCACGAGAAGCCTCCCACGGGAAACCCAGCCCTGAGACCCCAGGACGTCCGCTGACTGTTGGGGTTGGGGACGCCGCGCTTTCCACGGCGGGGCCACTGAAACCCAAAAGAACCCCAGGGCACCCTGAAGGCGAGCAGGACGTCTCTTGGCATTGCTCTCTCCACTGCAGGGGGAGGGCCAGCTCAGGGGGGGAACATCGGCCTGGACTCGGCGATGCATCGCCGATGGATCGGCAAAAGGCCCCCGACGGCGAATCCCAGCGTCCCTGGGCGCGGTGGGCTCGCGGGCCCTGTCGGCGATCAGTGGGCGATCGGGGGTCGATGTATCCCCCCTTTGCGGGGCCCAAGCATATACACCACCACAACCTCCCTCAGCCCCTCCCCCCCCCAGGGAAGAGGAGAGGAAGGGGAGGGTAGAGGAGGGAGGAGGAATCGACATGGTGGTGGTGTCGAGTCTTGGGGCCCGCACCCTTTGCCTGTCTCCCCTGACGCTGCTCCTCACCTGCAGGGACTGGCCGCAAGCAGGTCTGGCGGCCAGGGCCAGGGGGGGATAAAACGACGCGAAGATCCGGACAAAATCGGATCGGGATAACTCGAAATCTCTGAGAATCGGCGGGTTTGGAGGATGTATTGGGCGCCGCGGCCGCTCCAGAGCGTTCCGGAACGCTCTGAGAGCGCTCCGGAACGCTCTGGAGCGATTTATCCCGATCCTAGCCCTGTTTTAGGGGACCCTGACGTCCGAGCGTCGCCTTTTGTTCAAGCTGGGCGTTTTCGCGCGCAGCCTTCGGCCCGGGGGGGGGCCTCCGGAAGCGGTCCGGCCCAACACTTGCAGCAGAGAGAGGGGGCCCAGGGTTCGGGACGTGATCTTTCAAGATGCTGCTCGTTTCGCGATGTCGGATCTGAGTGGAAAGAGGAGGTCGAGGGGCCTCCCCTGGCCATTGGCTCTGTATTATTGCCCTCTTCTCCTCCCCCCACAAAAAAGCTCAACACTGCACTCCTCTCTCCCCCCCGAAATGTCTGGGAGATGGCCCGCCCGCCTCCGCGAGCTGCCTGTTGAAACAGACTTGCAGAATCTCACCGCTGCTATCACACCGAACTGACATGGAACCGAATAAGAAAAACCGGAGCAACAACCGAACCAAAACGGACCAAACCAGAACAAAGCGAAAAGAAATACGAAAGTACGAACGTCGGTATCAACTCCGCTTGACTCCGTTCCGTGAACGCAAACAAAAAACCGAGAAGCAAAGAAAATAAAGGAAGTAGTCGAACAACGAAAATGTGGTGAAATCGCAATTGAATGTGAAGTGTGTTCTCGACAGAATGATTAACCTGCTGATGTAAAGTGTCTGCTATCATCTCGATATGTTACTCATCTGATTGTGTGGTGTTGTTTTCTCTGCGCTTCAAACACAAGACTATCCCACATGAAAAGGATTATTAACGTTTCAGGCAATCCAGAATCATCTAAAAACGCAACCCATGCAACACATAAAACAACACATATACTGGATGATAGATAATGCCCAATGGCTTTCAACGTTGAAACAACTTACAACCAAAGTCGTGTCTTTGGTGTGTATCTGTGCATGTCATGCTCGATGTTCGTTGGGAGAACTGCAGGAATCGCGAGGGCAAATGACTCGCAATACTTCCCTGAGCGCGAAGCAACTGAAGCTAGAGTGAGTATGGAGGACGGGCAGGCAAGTTGGCGAGGAAAGATCGGCTGAGCCTTTTGTAAGAGTGGTTGACAAATCGCTGCTCGAAGTTCGACCATTCGATGGAGCTCTAGTAATATGTTCGACGTGATCTTGATGCTTAGAGCAGTTACAAATATCGTCGCTTCACCATTGGACCGGACATCGACGAAAGCATAGGCCTGCAAGCTCGAGACCGGCCCACTACTAGAACTATGCCCGAAGAACCAAGCTTGCGGTGCAACTGCTGCAAGTGGAATTGTTTTTTCGACTTGGCCATAAAATTCCGAACATCTACACAACGAGCAGGCAAATTCATGGATGATGAGTCGTCGGAGACATCAGTCTGCAATCTCGAGAACACTGAGATCGGTCTACGACTCGAGCTACAGTGAAAGAAAAAGCAGCTTCGCACTGCAACAGCTGCGCCAACTGTTTCTCGCATTACTTTCGCGATTCTAAACAATTACGACACTTGTACGCATACCGTTGAAACGAGCATCGCCGACCGTACCAATTCGCAACCTCGAAAGCGCCGATACCGGTTCACCACTCGACCTATACCCGACGAACTGCATTCGCGCTGCAACCGTTCTGCTCTCGAATTATGGTTCGACTGGATTTCGAGATTCAGGGCGGATTCAGAGCTCAAAAACTCGACCATCGAAGCAATCATCGTCGAAAACACTGGGTTTGCAACCTCGATGGCGCCGAAATCGATCTAAGACTCGAGCTACACTCGAATGAACTGTAACGGTCCTGTTGCGCCGAACCTTCCTTTCGCCTTGATTTCGCGATTCAAAACAGGTACGGAACTCGCGGGCATGCCATTGAATCCAACATCGCAGACCGTGCCGATTCGCAACCTCGAGAACGCCGGGATCGGTTCACTCTTAACCTACACCTGGGAAGGTAAATTCACGCTGCAACAGTTCTGATGCGTCGATGTGTGTTCGACTGAACTTCGAGATTCAAGGCGGACTCAGAGTTCAAAAGCACTACGCTCGAACCAATCATCGTCGAAAACAATTTTTTAACGGGCGAAGAACAGTAGTCAACAACTGTTCCGTCACCGGGGGCGCTGCCCCAGGGCGGCTGGAAAGTTTATACCCTGACGTGCCGCCGTGAGGGATGCCGTTCTTCGCCCGTCAAACATTATCTGCATTATCGCGGGCACCGAGATCCGTATACCACTCGAGCTAGACTAAAAAATAAGTCTGCACTGCAAGGATCATGTTGAGTCGAATTGTGCCGGCTGAATCCCTGAGTTAAAGCAGCTATACAGCTCTCAGGCACATCACATCTGTATGCAAATTCGAGGGCACCGAGATCGGCCCACTGCAAGACCTATACCTGGAACACTAGTTTCGCACTTCAAGTGTTCTGCTGCGTCGAAATGGTTTCCGACTTGGCCTCGCGATTCACAGCAAAACCCTTGGGCACACCACAGAATCGGGCATCGTCTCAGGAGGCCTCCCAGAGGCACCCAAGGCGCCTCAACCTCGGCGAGAAGGCAAAAAGCACTGATGTTACTAAGGTGTTGGCCACATGTTGGCCTCCTGGGGAGCCTAATGCACTACGGCCCCTCTGTTGATCGATCTCCTCCAAGATGGCCCCAGGAATGTGGCTCCCAAGGGTGCCCCAAGACGGCCCCGAGAGGTGCCCAGAAGATACAGTCGGGGCACTGAGGAAGCAACCCTTTTCGTTGGGGAGGGGCTCGGTGTTCCTTAGTTGTTTTGCAGTTCGCCTTTGGTTTTGCTTAGGATTTCGATGGGAAATCGAAGTTAAACTTATGGGAAAAAGAGGCCTCGTTCCTTATTTAGGGTTCCTTAGGTCAACGCCCCTTCTGTACCCTCAAGAAGCTTCCAAGATGCCTCCACGAGGCTCCCAAGAGACCCCCAAGAGGCCCCAAGAAGCTCCCAGGAGCCACCCATGACGCCCCAAGAGGCCCCCGGGACTGCCAAGCGCGACCCCCAAGACACCCCAGGAGGACTCCAAGAAGCTCTCGGGAGAAATCCGAAGAGACTCCGAGAGGCATCCAAAAGGCTTCTGGCCTTTCTGCTCGACCTCCTCGTCCTTGTCCTCTTCCTCCTGCTCTTCCTCCTCCTCCACCTCCTCCTCCTCCTCCTGATCATCATCCGCCTAGGCCTATTCCTCCTCCTCCCTCCTCCCTCCTCCCCCTCCTGTTTCCCTCCTCCTCCTCCTCCTCCTCCTCCTCCTCTTCCTCCTTTTCATCCTGCTACTCCGATTCCTCCTTCATCCCCGCCTCTTGGGGTATGGCGTCTTACCCAGCCCTCTATTCCACTGCATGCTCCTCCACATCCCTGATCAGGGCAACTCGCCTGGCATCGTGTCTGGATGGGCTGGTGGGGTTACGCGAAGCGTCTAGAATATTACTCCTCTGTCCCCTAAAGATGGACGGGGAGTGGCCCACCCCCCTCCGCATACTGTTCCTTTACTCACAGGAGTTCATATATATATATATATATATATGTATATATATATGTATATATATATATATGTATACATATATGTCCCATGGTCTTTGTCAACCAGAACGTCTTCGGTATCTCAAAATGGTACTCCCGCTGCAGCGTTGGCTTTATTCTAGCATCGGCCCTTTGCTCCAATCGTGCAGAATGGTGCCCTCGCCCCAGCGCGGGCAAATTTTCTGGATCCAAGTGCTTCCTCATCGTTGTCGCCCAGCTCCCTTCCCATCCCCCTCCTTCCCCTGGTCATCCTGCTCCTCCCGCCTCTCCCACGCCTGCTCATGCTGCTGCTGTTGCTCCTCGTCCTCCTCTTTCCTCATCATCCTCCTCTTCCTCCTGCTCATCCTCCTGCTCATCCACCACCTCCCCCTCAAACGTACGCAGCTACATGTTGGTGATTGCACATGACACGATAAGGGTCCTTTGGGAGGTTCCAAGTCCGGTATAACACCAGTCGGCGGAGGGGAAGGGATGTGGCGCGAAATGCAGGAGGGGCAGGATGGCAGATGTGGCGCGAGCGCATCTGGCTTGGCTCCACCCCTCCCCTCCCCTCCCGCCCTCCCTCCCCGTGGCACCCCCCTTCATCTGATGGGCCAATTGTCCACCACCACGACAAGAGAGGATACGGAGGTCCTTCTCCTCCTCCATTATTTCTCCTTATACGTAACTTCTCCCTATTGCACCCCGGGCAAGTTTTTAGGGCGGGCTGGGCGTTTCGCCTGAGACTTCCTCACCACGTATGACCCTGACGCTTAAACATTGGCAATAGTTTCACAGATGGGGGGCGGGTCGTTTTCAAAATGTGGCTCTCGCCTTAGCGCCGCGCACATTCGTTTTAAACATGTGCAACAGTTTCACGGGCTGGAGGCGGGTGGTTTTTAAAATGTGGCTCTCGATTTAGCGCCGTGCACATTCGTTGTAAACATTTGCAAGAAGTTCAATAGATTGAGGGCGGGTGGTTTTCAAAATGTGGCTCTCACCTTAGCGCCGCGCACATTCGTTCCAAGAATGTGAAAGAGCTACACGGATTGAGGGCGGCTCCTTTTTCAAAATGTGGCTCTCGCCTTAGCGCCGCGCACATTCGTTTCAAACATGTGCAACAGCTTCACGGATTGAGGGCGGGTGGTTTTTTAAATGTGGCTCACGCCTTAGCGCCGCGCACATTCGTTGTCAAGAATTGCACGAGTTTCACGGATTGAAAACGGTTCCTTTTCAAGATGTGGCTCTCGCCTTAGCGCCGCGCACATTCTGGATACAAAATTGCAAGAGTTTCAAGACTTCCCATGATCAACATACCAAAACGGTGTGTGTTGAAGGATGCTTGGCTTTGAAGGACAACAGTCAAGATGATTCGCGGAGTTGAGGTCCCAGGAACGGCGCTCTGGCACGATTCAGGATCGTCAAGACGCAACAGTCAGGTTCATCTGTGGCGTTGGAAATCCGAGAGTGATGTGTTGGCATGCTTCAGGGTCCTCAAACGGTTATCTTGCAACGATGCGGATCCTTCTGAAGAAATGAACCGTTGTAAGGGCCTACGAAGAGGGAGCTTGGGGGAAGGGCTTATTCCAACATCGTTGGTGATTCTTGGGTTCACACTGGTCCTCCTCCTCCTCCTCCTCCTCCTCCTCCTCCTCCTCCTCCTCTTCCTCATGAATACGGATCTCGGGAAGCGCAGCTACCACTACGTCGACGTGCACGGTGGTGTGACCATAGATGGTGATGTGGAGGCGCCGATACACGTATCGGATGTGAAAGGCCAGTCCCGAGACGACACTCGGGAGCGGCGGTGCGCCGATCTGGCGGATATGGCGGCCAGGCGGGGACGGCGCATCCACGGCCTGCCGCAGGCCGTCCTGGAGAGGAACGGCGACGCCTTGGGTCACGTCCGCCAAATCGCGGCCTGCATCGGCACCGCCTCCCGCGTGGTCTTCGACGGCACCGCGCAGCCCGACCGCGACCACGTGCCGCGGCGCCGCGCTGGCCCCCTGCGCCGACGCTGGGAGCAGCAGCGGGCGGGACGACGCGACGCTCCTCGCGCTGGGGTCCCAGCGCAGGCGCGGCGGCCCTCTGGGGCCCGGAGGGTGTTTCGCCTGAGGCCTCCCTCGCGGCGTCTGGTTCCGGTGGTGTGGGTGTCTCGGGGACGTTTGTGGGAGCCGAGGGCCCCCCCCGAGGCCAGTGCGTCGGCTGGCCCTGTTGAGGCTGCTGCCGACGGCAAGGAGCCGCCGCCCCTGGCAACCGAGGGCCTTGAGCGGTCTCTGGCGTTTGAGCGGATGCGGTTCAGGACGGAGGAGGAGCACTGGGACGCGGACCGTGAGGAGGTGGCGGGCAGGCTGGCCAAGGCCGCTCGCCCCCGAGGCTCCGAGGGACCCCGTGCCCCCCCCCCCGCTCCCCCTTAGCGTACCAGGTCGGGGGGGTGGGCGTCATCAAGGACTGCTCCTCTGGTGGGCCGCGCCCGGAGGCCCCTCGGCTCCTGGCCCCGCCCCCCGTCGCTGGCCCCGGCGGGCCTCCTCCCCCCGGCGGCCCCTGTGGGCCTCCGCCCTGCAAGAGGGCTCGGACCTCTGGGGGTCCGCGGCGGGGGGGGTCCTGGGCCGCGCGTGATGCTGTCCTCCCTGAAGTCTCCCTCCCCGCTCAAGGCCCTGTAGGGCCCAGGAGCGCTCCTGGACAACAGATCCGCCTTGCTGGAGCTACCCTGGCATTCTGCCTTCGGTGTGGCGGGCGGGCCCAGCCGTCGGCCCCGCGCTCTCGGCTCTGCGGCGGCTGCGAGGGCATTGCATCCAGTAAGGACTTCACATATCGTAAGTCCCTCGAGGCGGGTAAAGACCCCATCTCGGAGGAGTGGAAGGGAGACCCCGTCCACTCTTTTCTACGGAAGATGCCCGCTTTTGGCTTCGTCTTAGATCATTCGTTCCCTCGGGTTATGTTTCGTTTCCCGTCGAGTTGTGCGTGCTCGTCGTGTTTACCGTTCGTTGTCTGTCTTTGCTGCTGCTCTGCGCACTCGTTTCGGTTTGATGGTGCCTGCTCTTCCTCCTCCTCCCTCATCCTCCTCCTCCTCCTCCTCCTCCTCCTCATCATCATCATCATCATCATCATCATCATCATCATCATCATCATCATCATCAGCATCAGCATCAGCATCAGCATCATCATCATCATCATCATCATCATCATCATCATCATCATCATCATCATCATCATCATCATCCTTTTCCTCCTCCTCCTCCTCATCCTCCTCCTCCTCCTCCTCATTCTGCTACCTATGGTAGTAGTGGTGGACAATCGGCCCATCATCATCCCCCTCCCTCGGCTCTCAGGCCCTGTGGAAGCTCACCCCCCAGACCTTCGGCCGCCCCCCCCCCCGGCCTTGCCGGCGAAGACGGCCCTCGCGGCGCTCTCGTCGGGCGGGGACGCGCAGAAGACGACCGCGGCGTAGATGTCCGCGTCCCCTGCGAGCGCCTCCCACGCACACACACACACACACACACACAAACGCTCTGATTCCTCCTCTGGCGCTGTGAGTCACGAACTCTTAACAGGCTAGCGGGATGTGCCAGCATACATTGAACACACATTTATGCCGAATGCGCTCAGATAACCATATCCGCCACCGTGCCTCGAGGCAGGAAGTGGAGTGCTCCCCAGGTACTCTGTCTTGCGGAATTGAAATGTTTATATTCGGGGCAGGGGTCCCAACATCTCAATTGGTGTGGGCGTTCTCGCGTTTTCGCTGGCTTCTGCGCATGACTTGTCCAAAGGCTGGAAGGCCCGAAGACGGGCCAAGAGGGCGCCAACAAGGGGCCAACAGGGCACAAGAGGCCTCCAAGACGGCCCGACATCACTCCAAGACGCCCAAGATGGACCACAGACGTTCCAAGAGGCCCCCAAAACGCCCGAAGAGAGCTTCAAGAGACCCCACAAGAGGGCATGATCCTAAGCCACTTGAAAGATTGTAGTTTTCTCGCCTGGTCTGGCGTTCGACGCTCCACGACTGCCCGAAAGGCCCCCAAGATCTCCCCAACACGGCCCAAGAGGCCTCTAAGAGCGCCCCCAGACGGCCCAAGCTGGCCGCAAGACGACCCAAGGTGGCCCCCAAGACGGGGGGGGGGCCCGCGAGGCTCCAGCTGCATCATGGCACAGCGGTTGTCTGGGAGAGAGCCCGGGTAGCCGAAAACGTGGGTGCCAGCGTGCCAGACCGCAGTGAGAGGCTGGCACTGGGACCTCCAAGGGCAAGCCCCAAGGGTCGATCCCCAGACGCCCACAGACGTCCAGGGACACTCCAGGAGCATCGCGGGGATACCCCAGAGAAAAAACTGCGTCACCTTCGAGGCTGACCTGCGCGGCGGCAACCGACGGAAGCCCCAGCAGGCGGAGCCCCAAGAAAGGCCCAAGAGAGGCCCCCAGAGGGGGAACACGAACCGACACTTCAAGCCCATTACCACAAGATGGCCCCCGAGACCACCAGGTCCTCAAAAAGCCCCCCACAGGCTCCAGGAGGCTCCCCGCCGAAGCGGGCCCCTGGAGGTCGCCGAGGAACCCCTGAGAGGCACCCAAGACACCCCAAAACCGGATCCGAGAGGCTTCCGAGAGGCCTCCCAAGAGAGCCCCGCAGGCATTCCAGAGGCCTCTGAGTCACAACCTAGGCAAGGTGGCGAGATGGGCCGAAGGTCACTAGTATACACACACAAACGAACAAACACACATAAACACACACACACACACATACACAAACGCACGCACGCACGCACGCACGCACACACGCATACACGCACACACACGCACACACACACACACACACACACACACACACACACACACACACACACACACACGCACGCGCACGCACGCACGCACGCACGCACGCACGCACGCACGCACGCACGCACGCACACGTGTGGGTGCCGCGGCCACGCGCGCAGCGGCGCAGCGGACTCAGGCCAGCGGGAACGACGGGAGGAGGGTGGCGCGGCGGCCGCGGCCAGGCTCTCGGGGTTCCCAGATCGGGAACCTCTCTGCACGAATCCTGGGGGGGTGCAGCTACGAGAGGGGGGCGAGAGGGGAGCGACAGGGGAGGACACCTGGGGACTGAGCCGTCACACATACAGATCTATATATATATATATACACATATACATAAACATAAACATATACACATGCATATGCATATACATATACATGTGCATATACATATACATATGCATATACCTATACATATACATATACATATACATATGCACATACATATACATATACATATACCTTTACATATACACATACACATACACATACACATACACATACACATACACATACACATACACATACACATACACATACACATACACATACACATACACATACACATCCACATACACATACACATACACATACACATACACATACACATACACATACACATACACATACACATACA